TAAAGTAGATAAAAAAAAATATTATTACTTTGCCTTCTTGCTGTTCCAATACAGCTTGAATTTTTCTTTTAGTCATACAGCGATCCCCTAGAACAAGTTGTGTTAGGTGATCACGTGCAGTTTCATCTAAGAGTGGTGGTCTTTCTCGATGATCTGGTGATATTTGAGATGGATTGTTATATTGTTTTAGCACATTCCAACAGTCTTTGCATCACAACCAACAAGTTTGGCAATTTGCCTATATGACTTTCCTGATTTTCGAGCAGATATGATTTCTCCTTGTTTTTGTTCAGTAAGTGTCATAATTTGAAACTTATTAAATGTAAAAAGACTTTAACAGAACATATTTATACTTGTAGGTTTTTAATTAATAATTATAATTAATTGTTATATTTATTTAGCTCGGTCTAAAAGTGTGAGCGCAATGCCTTAATTTGTCGTAACTATAATGAATTGTGGCATTTTTTGTTGTAATTCATTATAATTACAACAAATTACAGCATTGCACTCACACCTCTAGATTGGTCAAAAAAAAAACTAGCAAATCAAATTACAGTAATTTTACGTATAATGAGTTTCTGTAAATTAAAATTTCATGTAATCATACAGTAACTTCAAATATACTTCAACTTTGTGTATCTTTTGTCATTTAAAAGCCAGATGGTGAAGCTACTATGTGAATTATCAATTGACCAAATTATGTCAAACAGCTAATCTCCAAGCCATATTTTGCACATGATGAAAAACAAGCAACATTCCCTAAAACAACTATTTTCTTCAGTTCATAAAAATTTTGAAGGAACTGGAAGAATTTGGAAATCTAATATCTGAAAAAAAGTATAAAATATTAGCATCAATTACAGTATCTATATATGGAACGAACAAAAAAAAAATTACTTAGCATTTATCAATGATCAATTTAATGATACTGTTTCATAATTCCCAATTTCAGTTAATAGAGGAGGACGAAGACGATCTATAGAATTTGAATCTTCAATGTTTGATGAAAATTCTATAATTTCTTTTATGGTAAATGGAGATACTTGGTAGGCAATTTCTGTGAAGAATCGAACCAAAGTATCCCAAAAATCAGGTCAAATAGATTTGTCCAAAAATTTTCTCCAAATGTAATTATTGGATTTTTCT